GTAAATATATATATATATATATATATATATATATATATATATATATATCTATATCTATCCACATCCCATATTTTATTTAATTAAAAAAAAAAATTTCAACCTGTAAATAGCCAAAATAAAATTGACTGATTCGGAAAGCAATTTAAATAAAAAGAGAGAAGATTATTTCATTTAAAAGTATAAAGCTAAGATTTATGGGACGATTTAAAATTGGCTAGAGAAGGAACGGCCCTCATGTACCTAAGAGACTAAGAAAATTGCTTTAAATTGCTATTTCGTCCCGCTGTAAATAAAAATTTTAAAAAATGAAATGCTAAAAATGAAACCTGATCATTTGATTATTGATAAGAGACTACAAAGTATGTGTCAAAATTAAAAACAAAACGCCAATGATTATTTGACATAAAAATTTGCTACAATCTCAGTGCAAGACTGCCAGAATTAAAATAAAAATGCACAGTAAAAATTATTCTAAAAGATCAAAATGGTGTTGATATAGGTAACGTTATAGATCTTGATGATTTTAAGATACATTATGACATCACACAATTTTGGTTTAATCTAATCATCATGTACTATGCAAATGAAGTGAAGGTTTGTTAAATTAATATAGTTAATAAATTCGCCGATTACTCACCCTCATGTCGTTCCAAACATGTTTTCGCTTTCTTTCATAGAAGACAATAGAGTTGGAGCAGAATGTTCTGGCAGAGAAAGTGAGCAGGGATGGAGGCTGTTGAGAAAATTGACAAAAAATAAATTAAAAAGACGCCATAAGTAGTTTATATGACTCATGTGCAATATTGCAGGTCTTCTGAAGTTATATAATAGCTTTGTGTAATGAAATTTATTGAATTTAAGTCATTTCTTTCCAATTGTAAATACAATAATCAAAAGATATAAATGGAATCAAAAACCCAATAACTATTTCATTACTGACATGTGTCCACAAAGGATGTGCCAAAATTAAAAATAAAAGAATTTAACATTGTAAACAGCTAAATAAATAAATGCAATTGATTTGCTATTTAATTTTCATTAATAAATCTCCCTGCAAAACGGTCAGAATTAAAATAAAAAAGTAAATGGACTAAAATATTAGATTTTTATCATATTTAAAAATCAAAATAATTTTTCATTTTGGCATTTCTTTCGGGTACCTTTCAGTACTGACAGTATTTATTTATTTATTTATTTTTTCAATTTGATTATTTAATTAAATTAAGTCAGTCCGAAAATACCTTCCACACAATTTGTTAGGCTCATGAAAAACAGCATGGTATGGTTTACTTAACACAAAATGTTGAATATTTATGTTTTTTTTTGTTTTTTTTATTATTGTGTTCAGTTTGGTCTTCAAACTGAGAAAATACCTTCCACACAATTTGTTAGGCTCATGAAAAACAGCATGGTATGGTTTACTTAACACAAAATGTTGAATATTTATGTTTTTTTTGTTTTTTTTATTATTGTGTTCAGTTTGGTCTTCAAACTGCAGGTCAAATGTGTCTTGCTGACCTACTACTACTTTAATTAGTTTGCTTGGGAAAATCCTTCAGCTGCAGCCTGAGAGAGTCTCCTGTGTCTTTCACCTGAGCACGACTTCTGAAAGCTTCTCCAAAAATATAACAAAAAACATGTCACTGTTTTTTAGGTTTCATGTTTCATTTGCATGTATAGTGTGTGTTGGAGGCAGAAAGAGAGAGATTTTCTTTCCCATTTGAAAAGTTATTTCCATACCAAAGAGCTCTTCTGTTTGAGAACATAATGAAACATCACAGGAGGACCGCATGAATGCAGCAGCCTACTTGCAAATGAATTCAGTCATCTAGAACCCTGCAGGCAAACCGGAGAGGAAGAGGCCCGTGTCATCGTCTTCACAGCTGTACAATTCCATATCCTCTCCAATTAAGACGTCCGTCCCCACTGGCGAAAAAACCTCTTAGCCAAATACAAATCAAAGGAATTAGTCACCACAATGCATTTATTGTGTTGCAACATTGATTTCACACACTGTGAAATGGCCTTCTGGAGGTATCTATTCAATATAATTGTTTATTTTTATAATAGGCTACAAAGTCACACAATTGTCTTGTAAATAAATCAATTTTTATATAATCAACATACACAGACTGAGATTTTTATAACCTTGCATTGTCTCATAATCGACCACAAAGTGACAAATTGAAGCAATGGCAGAATGGACGACTTTCAAACTAAATCAATTACATTTTGATTAACAAAACAAATATGTATAAGTATGGAAGCTTGTTTCCATATCTCGCAAGTTTCCAGTTTATGTCGAGATAGAAAATCAGAATTGTGAGGTATAAACTAGAAATTATGAGAAAAATATAAACTTAAAATGGCAAGACTTAATCTCAGAATTGTGAGTTATAAACTTGCAATTTTAAGAAAAGTCAGAAATGTGACAGATTAAACCTCGCAATTGCGAGAAAAAAAGATTAGGAGATAAAAAGTCCCAATTATCTTTTTATTTTTAATTCCAAGGCAGAAACCAAAAAAAACGAAGTGCAAAATGTAGAGAAAAATGTAGAACTATGAAATGAAAATTTCTAAATTTTTCCTGAATTTCTGAGTCTTTTTCTCAAAATCCCCCAATTCTAAATTTAAAACTCGCAATTGCAAATGTATATCTCGTAATTCTGAGAAAAAAAAAATCTGAATTGTGAGATAAAAAGTTGCAATTATCTTTTTTTTTTTATTCTGTGGCGAAAACAATCTTTCATAAGAATTGCAAGTAAAAGGTCTATACATTTTTTTTAATCTTGACGCGGAAACAGGCTTCCATACATACAAACTAGTCCATTTTAGCATATCACCCTAGTAGCCTTTCACTTTTGTTGTGCAATTATTCTGCTAATCATCTCCTTTTGAGGTCAAAGGGAAAAGAAACACAATCCAGGTTTGGAATAGCATGAGAGTAAGTAAATTCAAATTTACAACAGACTTTTAACCTTTGGGTGAATTATTAATTGCATGTTATGAACTGTAGGGACCTAAGGATTCAAATGTACATTAAGTCCAGACAGTGCATTAGTCAGCTGTCATGTGAAGGTCGGAAAACTTCACCATCAAGACCCATTCTAAACTTTGGAAAAGATTTCATTGCGGTCGGAACTACTGATGGATTTCAGATCAGTTGTTAGTTCGTGTCTTTCCTCTTCAATCAGCCAAACCACAAACGAGCAGCGGCCCGAGGCTACGAATGACTCATCGTGTGCCGGCCTACGTGAGAGTTCCTCTTGTCAGGAAGAGTCTTTTAATGCTTCGTCCCATGGCCCATCCGCTGCTCTCGCCGACTGAGGTTCAGAGGTTTGCTTGACTCTGCGGAGTCTGCGTTTCCGATCGCAAGAGCCCATTTGAGAAAACGAGAGAACATAAGGAAAAAAAGTGGCTGGTTGGTGATGAAATCCATTATTTAATAGACTTCAATGGGTGTGAGATTTAATGTGCTTTTCAGAACTTATACTTTTAGTCAAGTTAAATCATTCTACACGTCTAAGGATCGGATGTCACAAGGACTAACTCAAGGTAAAGTGCTCAATAACTGAAATAATTCAAAATTTATAAACACTGGACTAATACACATTTAATCACCAATGAATGTTCCAATAGTTTTGAAATTGAATATTTATAGGCAACTTTAAGATGCAGAAACTTTGTTTAATAATACAACTATCTAAAGGAAATTACTGTATACCAATACCAAAAGAATTAAGGATAAGGTTTTAGGCTTTGAAAATGCATAGAATGATTTGCTTTTGTCATGACATTCAGGACATATTGTTGTTGTTTGGTTGAATGTGCATGACAGGTGCCAATCCAAAAAGACCAATCAGAATTAAGTATTTAAAGGGGTCCTATTATGCTCTTTTACAAAGTCTTGATTTTGTTTTGGGGGTGTACTAGAACTTGCTCTCATGCTTCGAAAAATGCATTATTTTTCACATAATTTACATGATTAAAATACCTTTCTCCCCAGCCTGGCAAAAAACGGCTCGATTAGTTCCGGCTTTGATGAAGTTCCAAGGTTGTGATTGGCGAACAGCTTAGACGGTGTTTCAGTACTGCCACGCCCCTTTCAACAAAAGCTTTTTGGCGAATCCAGCACTGTACTTCCTCATGTTGTGGAAGCTGTCCTCAGTCAAATGCACAGCACACAATAGCAAATTGGGGTTATAATGCTCAGGAACAGAGTTAAAAAATAAATTGCAACCACCGTTTCCTGACATCATCCGCTTTCGGAAGCCCAAACAAAGACGTTTGGGCACGGAGGTGAAAAAAAAAAAAAAAAAACATTTCAGGCAGTCGCTCGCCGGACGAGAAGCACAGCATCGTATCGCGTCGCGCCACGTCTTTAAAATTCAAATACTTTATTTTTTATGAGTGTAGACACACCGGCGGCGCCGTTCGGCGTCTGTCCGTGGCGCCCAGCTACATCGTGTTATACTTGTAAGAATTGTTCTAGACATTTTGACGCTACAGCACAGCAGCTCTTCTTCTTCTTAGTTTTCTCTGATGCACTAACTCTGCAGCAGCACTTCTTCTTCGTCGTCTCGTCTGATGCACTCACTCAACCAAGCGTTCTAACCACAACCTCGCCCCTCCCCACCCCCCAACCATTAGAATTTCTGTAGGCGGGAATTATTTTTAATGATATTCTAATGAGCCGCTTTGTGATATCACAAAGCCCGGAAAACAAACGCTGTAGTCCAAACGAGCCGTTCGTTGTAGTTCTTGAAAAGGGATTTTTTTTTTTACGAAATATCTCCCTTTGGAGTGGACTTTGAGATTTGTAACTTTCTAGACCTTTTTTTATGCCCAAACATACACACTACACACTGACTAAAATTAAAAAAGTGAAAAAGCATAGTAGGACCCCTTTAAATACTGCAGTGTTGTCATTTCCATCAAATACATTTTAAATGCTGAACATTCTATTAAATGTCAGTTGGAATTTTAAAAAGGAATACTCACACCTAACATAAAAAATCCTGTCATTATTTACTCATCATCATGTCGTTCAAAGCCTTTATGCTGTTATTTTTCTGTGGAAGATAGAAAAATAATTATGATATTAAAGAGGGATCAATCTGTTAAGCTCCAAAAAGGTCATAAAAGCACTATAAAAGCAGCCCACAGGTCTTGTTCACTATATTTTGAATTTTAATACTTGCAGCTAGATGTTTAGAACAAACCCAAATTGAAATGTTTGAGGGAAATCAATGCTGTGCTGGCTTGCAAACACTAATGATTCTGTTTCTTTGAGCTTTCAATTTGTTCTTTCCATCCGTCTCCTGGCAGGCATTCAACAGAACTCAAACCGAGATAATTCACGCATGAGGCAATTGCAAAGAAATCATCTGAATTAATTACAAGCACTTACCATTTAGATCAAGCAAATTCTCAACACAAAAATCTTGGGACACAGGAGGTGATGTGGCTTTAAACACCAACAAAAGATTTAAGTGCGAGTCACACAACAAGGTATCTGATTATCTTGTCTTTTTGAAGCACTATTCAAACTTAAAACGAATGATTTTTGTATTTTAGCATACACAATTTGATCATTTGAAACCAATTCTATTTGTATTCTAATTTGCATAACATTCTCATTTGAATCAGTTCCGCGATATGGGTCAAATACAGATTGTTACCTCTGCGTGTCTTGAGTTATGCTGAGATCTGCATTAAATAAATTGAGGCCCT